TTCCCATCAGCTCTTAATTAATTAGCATTTTTTTGTCACTTTCGAGTCTTTGGATATTTATAAATTTATCTATTTTTTTTTACAAACACTGTATTCAATCACTTATGCTTCCAGCTGCAATGTTAGTCTCTCTCCATTTTTTAAGGAAATTCTGCAAGAACAGTCCTGATGAAGTATAATGAAATATGTTTATCTCATTGTGGTAATTGATCAGCATATTTTCATAGTGAAATATGGTGTCAATAATATAATCAATTTTCTGTTTCATATTTTTGACTGTGTAATGCTATGCATAATAAAATTATTACCATTCAAGTGTCTGAATGTCTCTTTTCAGATTTCTAAATGAATAAGGAGACAAATTCGAGATCTGAAAGCATCATTAATGTGTAGAATTTGTTAGTTTTCGAGGCTCCAAATAATAACATTACCATTTATAAAATGATTTTTATTATATGTTATGATGGCAAAAATTTATTATAATTTTTGTCAAAGAAAGTACCCGTGGATGTCAGGTAGGCAGCGGGAGAAGGACGAGCCGAATGCAGGGTGCATCAGGGTGAACCCCTTGCATGGGTGTTTGCAGGGAAAAGGTAAGATCACACACGCAGACAGAGAACAGAGACTGAACTGGGAGCACAGGACTAAGAGACACTAATATACATAACTAACAGAGGAGTAAATACAAGGCAGCTGTGGTTAGTTAACAAGAGGGCAGGAACAAGAGGTAAGACTAATACAGTAAGTTTCAGGCGCGGCTGAGTAGAAGCCATGCCCGAGGAACACGCAGGGAACAGACAAGCAAGGCGGGGCTGGACGTGACAATAGAATTCATATAAAGATGCACTGTACCTGTCCAAATATGCTGAGAAGGCAAATAATGTCTGAATACATGAATATTAGGGAATGAAATCAAATGAAATTATGAGGATATTTCTGCAAATTGATGAAAACCATGAAATATTTAGATGTATATATGGTAATAATGGTAGTAATGCAAATAAAAACACCAAATTCACCATTTTTGTGAAGAATACAGCTTGAAAGCAACATATTTTTATTACAAACCATTGTGACCTGACAATAAATTGTTTGAACATGGAAAAAAAAAACTGATTCAACCTTAGTGTCAGAAGCTTATTAATAAATCTATACAACCGCAACATGAAATAGACATTTCTAACTGTTGCTAGACTTTGGGCATATGTTAGTTTATAATCCAGGTTTATGTGTTATAATTACAGCAAAAACAAGAGCACCTGCCACTTCACCAATCAGAACGCCTGGCCACACGGAGTTTGGGCGTTTAAGCAAAGCTTCTGTCAGAAATGCTGGGTCTTTCCTGGATCTTCTTGACCTTCCCAGTAGATTTCAGACTGAACTGGGCTTCAGACCTAGTTAAGTGTCTCAAGCAGATTTTTTTTTCCACATTCCCCTCACTTTAGATTGAGGTTGTAGGGAGCCGCCCACTGGTCTAATGATGGAATTCAAGGCTATGAATGTGCATATGTCCTTCCGAGCGCTCCAGCAAAGTTACGTACCCTTCTGGGTAAAACCAAATTATATCTGACCCCAATTTAACTAAAAACTTTTGAGTCGTGATTTCGAGTCTGGTATTCAGATTACTCCTGCGCTTTCCTCAGTATTGCCGAACTCCCATTTATCCCGAACGATGGAATACACAGGATTCGCCTAGGCCAATAGGGCGATCCGCAGATCTGTTACATAGGGCTTGGTTCAGAGGTTGAGGGATCGCTGTAACTAACACATTGTCAGCTTAGATGATGAAGTTGGAGTGCAGCAGGCATTCGTCCGCTGAGGCGCACAATGACATGAAAAACATTTGCTTTGCAGCTTGAGACAATGGTCAGCATCCAAACAGCTCCTTCAATATTTCGGAGTTTGGGCAAGAAACTGGATTGTGGCCACTCGTAGACCTGTTTCAGGTGCTTCCACTGAACATGGATTTGCTTGGGACTCATTTTAAATCCAGCATCTTCCAGCTGTTTCGCCACTTGTTTAAACAGGTCTCCATTACGTATTTTTTGACCATCCATGTATTTCAGAATATAATCCTTTCAGCTGACACAGCATGAACTCTAGTTCTTCGTCAGTCCAAAAATGAATGGGTTTGGATTTTGTCATTTTGTTGATGAATGGTTATTCTCCGTTGGCTTCTTTATCTTCTGTGTACACTGTAAAAAAAAATGTTCAGCCAACTCAAAAATTCAAGGCAACATGCTGCAATACATTTTTGAGTTAAGTCAACTCAGTTACAAAAGTTCAACAAACCTATAGACAGAGGTTCAGCTAACTTTGACTTAAGACTTAAGGCAACACTAATACAAGTTAGATTAACCTAGGTACAAAGTACAAACTTGGATTGTTAAATTGTCAACACTATTTTGCAAGTTTGATTAACATAGATACAGAGGTTTAGTCAACTTTGTTTGAGGAGTCAAATTAAATTTAAATAAACCTGCCTTGTTTAGGTGACATTTTAAGAGTTAATGTTTTCATTAACTTTTTTAAATAGCAAGATTCAACTGTAATATTTCAAGTTGCCTTGTTTAGAGTACTAAAAACGTATTACCATTAGAAC